TGTACGGATTCAATTTGTTGCCGTGGTTGTTGATGATCAGGAGGTAATGGATGAAGGTGTTCGTGGTTGGAGTGGGTGGGCTTGTGGTGTTTAGATATGACTAAATATCGAGTTAATTATATGTATCCATACATTATTGTTCTCTAAGAATCGAAAAGTAGGTATTTTCCAATTCATAGGGGGGAAATGTAAGTGGAGGGACTAACTTCCAAAATTTATACCATATTTGAATAATGACCTAATCCGATTGGGTCATAGCTCAACAAGAATAGAGAGTTACATATTTTAGTAGGTTAATTGAAATATCATTCCACGGATGAACATATGAGCCTCGTAAAATAAAGTAAGTTACGATACATTATGTAATCCTATATAAATTGTACTAAAATGTTTGGAATTGAACGTGGAAAATAGGGTTGGGCAAATCTCCCGAACCGAACCGATCGAATCGAACCCGAACCGAACCGAACCGAACCGAATCCGACGGTTCTTGTCAAATTAAATACCCGAACGGGTATCTGAATTGAGAACCGATGGGTACGGTTCGGTTCTCGGTTCTAGACCAAGAACCGAAGAATCGAATAAAAATCGAATCTTTCTAATTTTTTTTTATATTGAGTAAATCAAAATATTTTAATTTTTTCTAAACAAATTAACAAATTAATGATTTCTAAATTCAAATTTTTGGCCCAATAATTTGTTTCATTTCTAATTTTTTAATTTTTGGCCCAATTACCCATTTTATTGTTTCATTTCTTAGCCAAACAAGATCAAATCCACTAAATAACCCTAAACACCTACACTAAAGTGCATAACGTTGTCTCGACTCTCGTACTCACTCTCGCAGCCTCGTTAATATTCCAAAACCTATACAATCGTCGGCCGACACTTTGACCTCCGATCGAACCTGTGACCTCCGCCGACCGAAACTTTGATCGTAGCGATCATTTGAATAAAGTAGTTTACTAGTCTCTGACATTCCAAAACCATTGAATGTATCATTATTCGTATTTATATAATGTTGTTATAAATGTTAAAAAATTTAATTATAGTACAGAACCGAACCGAACGGAACCGAACGGAACCGAACTCGAATGGTTCCATAATTATATTTGGACCCGACGGTTCCATTTACTAGATATCCGAAAAGTTTGGTTCGGTTCGATTCTCTTTAGAACCGAACGAACCGACCCGCGCCCACGCCTAGTGGAAAATGTAAGATAGCCAAAATTAAATATGTTATGGATCAAACTAATACCATATATACTGATAAGGGCCGGCGACCCAATCTTTAGAGTATGTAACTTCCACTACAACGTGTGAGGGATACCCAATTGATTTATGGCTACGAAACAAGGCATAAATTATATGGAATACAGCTAAGATGCAGTACTCTATTGTTTCACCATCCTACCCAATATTGGCATGGAGCCTGTAACGCATTAAGAATTGTCGAATTACACACTGGGCAAAATTTGGGACCCTTCGTTTTGGATTTTGCATTAACAGAAAATGAGTTCTAAATTTTTGTCTTACCATGCAACTAACTATATATGACAGTCACTTAATACGCAATGAGACATTTCTTTCCAACTATGGCTCAAAAAATTCATGTTCTACTGATTCTGTTGCTCCTTTTTCTCTCTTACATTCTGGTTTGTTCAGCTAATGTGAAGAGAGAAAGAGACCTCAAGAGATGGATATCGTGGAACGTCAAGAATCATAACAAGAAACAAGCTTATCTTAGAGCCGGGTCGGTCGATCGAGAGTCGAGTACTCGTTGGGATCCGAAGCTACGGGTGGCTGAAATGAATAAAATTCAATTAAGAGTGAGTCAAGATGGAACTGGTGATTTCAAGACCATCAAAGAAGCCATTGACAGCATTGCTTTGCACAACACTCGAAGAGTGGTACTGGACATAAAGCCAGGTGTTTATAGGTATATATTTATAATACCCTTTTGTCAATCAATTTGAGAATGAGGGAATTTGAATTAACTGATTAGAGTTTTCTGTAGGGAAAAGATCAATTTCCCTAGAACAATGTGTTTCATAACATTTTCAGGCAATGCCAGCGATCCACCGAGCATCACGGGCAATGACACCGCGTCTGTGACCGGAAGAGATGGGACGCCGCTAAGGACTTATCAAAGCGCCACGGTTGCCATTGATGGGGATTATTTCGTCGCCATCAACATGAAATTTGAGGTGAGTCCATCTGTAAATTAATACTTGTCTATGATGATTTCATGTCCTTGACTGCGATTGTTTATGTTGGAGTACTATGTCGTATATGTCTTAGGTTGTTCTAAAAGTTCTACTACGTAATTTTTGTAAGAGAGATGAGCAAATTATACAATGGCCTCTTGCGTATATTGAGAATAAATCTATTTTAATTATCGCTCTTGTAAGAAATGAGACGGGATAAGGTCTTATTGCTTAATACCTAACATTTCGTTGCCCACGAGCAGCTTGAGAGAGTATTTTCCTGCAGGGATGTCATCTTGGGAAGCAAAAAGAATTACTCTACAATTTTAAGAGAAATTTCAATTGGCTTACTGAACTTTAATTTATTTTAATTATGTCTTCAACTTTATACCTCGTTTGGCCCCATTATTTCACATTATAATTCTTTCTTATTTTCAACCACATAATTTTTCATAAAATAATATTACACGTAAATCAAATTTTTTTTTTCATATTTTTCAAAAAAAAAAACTACTATTTTAAATATTATAATTTGAAATAATGGCAGCCAAACGGGCTCTATATTTTGTCATATATAGTGCTCCAAATTAATAGAAATCATTTAGTTGGCCATTATACAATAAATAATCTTCAACCCAATCGCTATGTGAAACTAGAATAAAAAATGGTAAAACTAGGTGTAGTAACATCTTTAGTTTAAATTTTTTTTTTTTTTGGCACTATTTTTATGATGTGATATAGTGATAAATTGACATATTACATAACGATTGTGAGGAGAATTCATTATGGTATGATTGCCAATAAAGTAATTTTAATCAATTTGGGGGACAATAGATTTCGAAGTGGTGAATTTTTTGGAACTAAACACAAGTGCAATAATCTAATTTAGCCCGTGCTTGCTGCACATTTTTTTGAAATGAAAATGAGTTTTCCAATTGTTGTGCACACTTTTCTAATTCAAATGTGAGATGCATGTCAAATAAATCATGTTAGGTGGGTCCAAAAAGGCTCTATTTCTTTAGAAAGTGGAGAAAAAAATGAGAAACAATTAGGGGTTTAAAGCCAAATTAAATTTTATCAACCCAATTTAGACAAGTTAAAATTTAGTGATATAATTGAGATTTCATTGAAAGTTCAGTGACCGCAAATGAAATTTACCCTATTATCTCTCTATTTTGAAGAAGACACACCTCATTTGAAGCGAGGAATTAAGGCACGTAGATTCCAAATCCACACAAAACATCCCAAAATAAATAAATAAAAACATTGTCGTCCCATCAGAGGCTCAGAACCAAACACGGCGACGGGCCAGGTGAAGTACTTCACCAACAATTTATTTATTAATGGAATAGTTTTCTATACAATTATCAAACTAAAAGAAATTAACTAAACCTTAACATATGAACAATCAAACTAAGATTAATTTTCTAAATTTTTTCTTGATTCGATCTCGGCATTCTGCGAAATTATCGACTTGTTCATGGATTCGATATGTGTAAATGCAGAATACAGCTCCGCATGTTGTTGGATCGAGAGCAGACCAAGCCGTGGCATTTCGAATATCTGGAACAAAGGCTGCATTTTATAACTGTAGTTTCTATGGGAGTCAAGACACGCTTTATGATCACAAAGGCCTTCATTATTTCAATAATTGTTTCATTCAAGGATCGGTTGATTTCATCTTTGGCTATGGCAGATCACTTTATGAGGTGAGCACATCAAACTTGGTCCATCAAAAAACAACCTGGTTCAAAGGCCCAAATGTTCTGTCCACTTTGAAAATATATATTCGGCTGACCTTATCACAGATATTTCAACATCCCATCTAGGCCTATAGAAGAATGATATTCATCATTAGTAGTTGCGATCATCAGAGATCTAAGTGGCAACCCCATTGAACGAATCAGTGCTTGGTGTCACCTAGACGAGTGATGATGACAGCTAATGATGAAATATTATTACTCGTGATTGGTTGGACAGCTTCGACTTTCGAGCATATCAATAACTGGTTTGGTATAGCTTGGAATAATTGACACTCTAGAAATAAATTTTGTGCTTTGGGCAGAATTGCTATTTGAACTCTGTGGCCAAGAAGGTGGCGTCTCTGACTGCTCAAAAACGCACAAATTCATCGATATCAAGTGGATTTTCCTTCAAAAACTGCACAATTACAGGTAGCGGTTCGATTTATCTAGGAAGAGCATGGGGGGATTACTCGAGGGTTATTTTCTCTTACACATTCATGGATAAGATTGTTCTTCCCCAAGGTTGGAGCGACTGGGGCAAAACCAGCCGTGATTCGTACGTTACTACTTTACTCTCTACTTTAGTACCATGTTTGGGAATATTGAAAAAGAGAAAGAACTTATAATCATCTTATTACTATGTACAGACGAGTGTATTATGGAGAATACAAGTGCAGCGGACCAGGAGCCAACTCGACGGGGAGAGTGGCATGGGCTAGATCATTGACAGACGAAGAGGCCCTGCCTTTTATAGGCACATATTATATAGATGGTGATGCTTGGCTCTTGAGCCCTTAGCCAATTAAATTAGCAATTAAACCTCAGTATCAATATCATTTTAAAAAAGTTCTCGTCGTGGCGTCATTTAATCACTTTGATGATTTGAGGCATCACTTCGTCACTATCAACTGTCATTCAATTGAGTAAAAAGTACTTAAGTCATTTAATTGCTCGACACGTTGACTTGATTTTGAAATAAAGTTGAGTAGAAGATCAATCGCATAACTTTTTTGAGTTAAAAAACCATTATTTTAGTGGTAACATCGAATCAACAAACATAGCATGCAGAAGCTGTCAATTCTTGCCTCCACAATTTATTAATCTTACTTTGCTACATTAATGGGTCCATTGCAATAATTGATACAACTCTATGCACAAATAATTTTGTCAACCAAAGAATTAGCCTTAGATCTAATGTTTTTCCATTTACCCTTCTCCTAATTGTGATCATTAAGGATCAAACAACAAGCATCTAAGTATACACTTTTACGACGGATTTCATGCCTTTTCACAATGGCATATTGCCGTCACGAATAGTATTTTTACTTGCATGTACGACTTATAGTTGGGTTTTGAACAAGTCAAGACGATTGTCTGCCAAACGTGAGGAATATGCGGCGTTCTTGTACTCTCCCCAGGTAAAATGCTTGTAGAGACGAGGATTTTGGGACGAGACCATTTGTGGTATAGGAGATAAACATGCGTTGAGACGTGGGGCTCCGAAATACATCATTGACATTCTTGGCTTCGCCGAGTTCGCTAGGGCCCTATGTCTAGCACTCACAAGCCTTCCATTCGTCAAAGCCTGCACATTCATTATGACTTGTGTTTATTTTCAATATAGACGATTTTCCAAAGATTGTTATAAAGAATATATTCAGAATGGCTTCAAGACATGTCACGAGTCACTATGTGTCACTTTCCAAAAAGAAGCAATTTTTCTAGACGTCAATTCAAAAATGATGTATCAGTCCATCTTATTTATGTTGGAAATATTCTAACTATTGGCTCGGAATCCACGCTAATATCACTTTATAGCCAATAATTTAATTAATGCGCAAGAAAAAATGTCACTAACCTGCAAAGCGTCGCCTACAAATACAAAGAACTGATTGGAATCAGGAGGAATGGGGATCCACAAACCATCATGCAAACAAATTTGTAGGCCACCCACATCGTTGGATCGCAAGATTGTCAAGATCTGAGGGTCAGAATGCTCTCCGAATCCAATACGAGTTGGTTTGACATTGCAATAATATTGCTCATCAAACAAGTTGGGCACTGAAGAGTCAATAGTACTAATTGGAGGATAGTGATTAATCCTGAAGCAGGAATCACTATCTACGTCTCTAATAAGTTTACTAAATATGGATTTGTCCTTGACCCGAAGCCCCTCAGCCACCATATCAAGAATCTCGACTGCCAGATTCTTAACTGCTTGCACATAATCATTTACAGTACAACTGCAACCAATATAGAACATCAGTTCACTCGTCCCGAATGTATATATCAATTATAAAAAAATTGTGTACGTGTCAAACTTTTGATTAAAAAAAAGGAAAAGTTGCAGTAGCGGTCCCTAATTTTTTCATTTTTTACAAACTTTACCCTAATTTCATTTTGTACTAGCGAATGTTCCTAACCTTTCATAAATATGCGCATGGGGTCTATCTGGACAGAAACAGTCCAAAACACCGTTAATTGACCAGAAAAATTAAGGAATCAACATCCAATAAAATCGTCCAAAACATTTTTCAGAAACACCTTTCAAACTGATATCAACATCTAATAAAATCGTCATGGTAGCAGATAGTTCAAGGAATTTTCTCACTCAACTGAAAATGTTTTGGACGGTTTCCGTCCAGATGGACCTCATGTGCATTATTTATAAAAGCTTAGGGACCTTCGCTACACAAAATTAAGACTAGAGTAAAGTCTACAAACAAATTAAAAGGTTAGGGACCATTGCTGCAATTTCCCCAAAAAAAAGGTACATGGGACTAGTATATCGTAACCATGTACAGAGACTTCAGGTTTGAAGGGTTGCACGTGAAAAACAATTTGATGATCTCATTGTATTAATTTATATATTATTGACAAGTTGATCGTATTGAAAAAGTAGTTGTGCAACCGTAAAGTAAATCTGAATTGCATGCGTTACAATTCAAATAAACTATAAATTACCTGAAGTTATTTGGGTTGTCGGAAATGGCTTTAGATCTTTCAGAAATAGATTGAGGATTGGCTTCAAGGAGAATATACTCAAGCTCGCCTTTGTCGCCATTGAATCCAATATTCTTGCAGCCATAACCAAAGGGAGTAGGAGGTCCAGCTCGTTGTTTTTCGAATGCAGGTTTTGAGAAAAATTCTAAACCTTCTCTCTCAACTCTGGAAATTATATCTTTGGAAACTCCATGATTAACCACCTTGAAGAAACCATATTCTTCACTTGCTTTTACGATTTGCTCCGACTGTTGAGACCTGTCGAGGCTGAGATCTATGACTGGAATTCCTAGGGCTCTAGCTTTTTTGCCTCGAAATGGACTTGCAGAAGGCACGACCATGTTTTGTTAAACTATTACGAAGGGCGCGGGGCGAGTGATGCTTGAAGAAGGGTCAACACGGATAACTTTCTAAAGACGTGGATGATACTCGAAAATTTATGGACAATGATATCTTGATTTCAATGAACACAACATTGAGAGAGGAATGAAGAATATTATTTTGAAGTTATATATATAGATACTGGGAAAAAAAGGGGACGGTTCTGCTGGGAAATTAAAATAAGATATTTAGTCCTTGTTTGAGCTCCTTTTTTCATCAAAATATATTTTTCAACAGTGATTTGACATCATTTCAATCATATATTTTTCAATAAAATAATATTACACACAAATCCAAAATATTTCCTTATTTTTTAACCATGCATTCTCTATCATAACACTATTTCAAAATGAAATTTTTAAAAAAATTGTTTTGATAGAATTGATGAAATGTGTGGTTGAAAAATTGTGAGTTCTATAAAATATATGGTTAAAATTAGGGTAATTAACACAGAACGTCCTTACTTTTCAATATTATTGTGAAAAACGTTCTTACCTTTCATTTTTTGACATTCAACTTTCATTGTGTAAAATGTTATTTTCATCCAATTTCTCAATAAAAAATATAAAATGACAAATATGCACTCTTATTTAAATAAAATAGAAAAGAAAAATTAAAGAATAAATTACAATTACACTCTCAAACTTTTAAAAAAAACTGTAAATGAGTACAAATAAATTATTGAAAGAGTAATTATTACAAAACGTCCATACATTTTAATGTTATTGTGTAACACGTTCATACCTTTTATTTTTTAGTATTTTCACCCTTATTTTCATCAAATTTCTCAATTAATAATTATAAAATAACGAATATACTCTTCTATTTAAATAAATAAAAGAAAAGAAAGATAAAGAACAAATCGCAACTATATTCTCAAATTTTTCAAAAATTCACAGATAAATTTCAAATAAATAATTAAAAAAAGGAAGTATTTTTTTTAAAATTTTTGTTTTTAATTACTTATTTGAAATTAATTTGTACTTTTTACTAAAACGTGAGATTATAGTTGTAATTTGTTATCTATTTTTGTTTTATATAAATATGAAAGTATATTCGTTATTTTATAGTTTTAAATTGAAAAAATGGACGAAAATAATGATTTCCACAATGAAATGTAAAAATAATAGTGAAAATGTCAAAAAAATGAAAGTCATGAACGTTTTGCACAATAATATTAGAAGGTAAGGATGTTTTGTGATAATTACCCATTTAATAATTTATTTGGATTCATTTGGAGTTTTTAGAAAAAGTTTGGAAGTGTAATTGCAATTTATATTTTAATTTTTCTTTTCTTTTTCTTTTTTTTATTTAAATAAAAGGATATATTTGTCATTCTACATTTTTTATTGATAAATTGGATTGAAATGACCTTTTTCACAATATAAGTTAAAAATAGAGGTGAAAATACCCAAAAAAAAAAAAAAGAAGAAGAAGAAGGTAAAGACATTTTACATGATAACATTGAAAAGTAATGACGTTTTGTATTAATTATCCATTGAAATTAATTGTTGTCTTTAACTTAAATTAAAATCTAGACTTCATCCACGCGAGAGAAAAACTGCATATGGGGAACACTACTTAATATAAAAGCTGCAAAAAGTTATTAAACAATATATGTTCTTAATTAGGACCTCTAACCCAACGAGATTACACTACATTAAATTCCAAGAGGAACATGTTGCTTATCGTTAGTTAAAAAAGTGGGTCGCTAAGAACAATTAGCTCAATGCACTTAGATTCGATTTTATGTTGTTTAGCTACTTCGATATTATCTTGATTGATATTGATAAATGCGACTAGAACGATTATTTGGACGGGTTAAATATCAAATTTAAAGTTGATTAATGTAAAAGTAAGTAAATCAGAGAAAAAAAATATATCAAAAAGATGCAAAACGTGGAACTTGCATGCGAAGCAGGGAAGGAAAGAAAAGCATAAAGTTTTCTACAAAGATTTTCACAAGGTAAATGATATGAAGATAATTGAATCTCGAGTTCAATATGAAAAAATGGATCGTAATTCGAAGTTGTAAAATAAAAGTTATGCAATTTTTATTTATTTTTAATTATATCGCTGGTATAGAATGACATTCATAGTTATAGTTACAGATGAGTTTCATGAGAACAACTTTTGACACTCGCTTAGGCATGAGTCAAGCAAGAGACGGATGAAACCCTTGTACATCATATAACCCTTAATAATGTCATACATCAAGATAAAACAATTACAATCATGTTGGGGTGTCAGATGAATTTTGATATTCCGGTTGACCTACACTCACAGTCGGGGTGGGTGGGTGCCATTTTTTACATTTTTTATTCCCATGAGGTCGGCGTGGGTCCCATACCAACGTGAGCGTAGGTCAACCGGAGTGTCAAGATTCATCTGTCACACTAACTTAATTCAAACAATTATTGGGGAGCAAATATATAAAGAATTCTTCAAGACTTGGATGAAATGAAAAAATGAGGAGGACGAGGAGGGCTTCTACAATTATTGAAGAGAATCGAAATCAAATATTATCTTAATCTGTCTTTTTTAAAATATATTACTTGTTAACAATTTATCCACTTGGGAATAAAATCCACAAAAAATATAGTTTGAAAATTTACATTTATATATTAAAGATATTAATAATAGCACCAAGAATTTCACGTGCGGGAATGTTTGTTGGGGGGTTAAAATTTTTTTTTTTTTTTTTTTTTTTTGTGGCTCCATGCATTGTGAGGATCTATCAAACAAGTGGGTAAAAATCTTCTGGCAAATGAGTTTTATCTCAAAAAATTATCTCTCTTATTTTCAATCATACAATCTTTCATAAAATAATTTTAAATGTAAATCGAATTTTTTTTTCTTTTCAACCAAACATTCTCTTCAAAAAATAAAAAATAAAAATACCTGTTATAAAAATTGTAATTTCAAGTAATGAGGGCCAATTATCATTAATTTAAGTGACGTAAGATCGCATGTTTTATTACTCTACTCAACATATTTTAACATATCAAAAAGTAAATCAAAGGGTACTATGTGATCTAGATTCTAGACTGAGGATCTTTTGAAGATAAATAACATAATTTAAAAAATTAAATCATTTAGAATATGTTTTTCAAGTTTTTTAAACACTTGCCAAAAGTATTCATTACTATTGCACCGTAAACACAGGTTAGAAGTCAAATTATCATAAACAAACCCTGGCCGTCTATGTAAATGCGTTTGTAAATTAATATTTATTTCATTTTATTGGATTAATAATTATTAAGTTGGTCTTGTAGTACTATTCAAATTGCTGCTAAAATAACGGCAAAATGACAACTTAGCGGCTGTTTATTTGACTTCTAAACAAACCCTGGCCGTCTATGTAAATGCGTTTGTAAATTAATATTTATTTCATTTTATTGGATTAATAATTATTAAGTTGGTCTTGTAGTACTATTCAAATTGCTGCTAAAATAACGGCAAAATGACAACTTAGCGGCTGTTTATTTGACTTCCGTAAAATCCTAAAACCAAACCAACAGTGAGTGTTCTACCAAGGAATAAAGCATCAATAACGTTTCTTGAACAGGCACATGACGGGGAGTTGACAGGGGTGGGGATTGGGTGTTGTATTTTTTTTTTCAAACTGTCTAATCATGTATTAACACGTATTCGTTCCGACACTAGCTCTGTCATTGAGTTTGTCACTGTAACAAGATTGATAAAGCATCGTCAATGTCGGCGGAAATGAACAGAACATTCCATCCCAACAGATTAGTGTACCTATATTTTTATGTGAAAAGCAGTCTTTATTCGACTATTGTCCTTATCAGAGGTACTTAGTTCAAGAGAAATTCTTAGGTAAACTATACATAGAATTACATTCCTGGCACCGAAACTGTCAAAAATTACTCTCCAAAGCCATAAAAAAATGCCTTCATGAAAGTAAGCGAAAATATTATCCTCTAGTTAGTAAACACGACATCGACAATATCAACAAACCTCTCCTTTATAGCCGCTTTAATTCCCGATCCAATTGAATCAGGTCCCTCGTATTTTACTTGGCAATTTCCATCCGTGATCGATAACACTTCCACACTCCCACCAAAATTCTTGATGGCTGGTCTTAGAATGTCTAAATGACCATTCACTGCCTGTAGATATTTGAGCAAGCTGAATGTGAGACCTACAGTATTGAAGTCTTGAGGCATTTATTTATCTTACATACGAAGATTAGATATAAACAGACCTCAATGGTTGTCTCGCTAATTTGTTCATCATTTATTTGGCAAATATCCTTGATTGCGTCTCCAAATTTTTCCTTGAGAACTCTTTCGATACCCATTTTCATGGTGGTGGTTGAGCTAGGACAACTTCCACATGCTCCTGTTGTTCATTCATGAAGTACAGGTAAAGACAGCGGATAATAAAAAGATAACTCTAGCTAAGAATCAGAATGGGAAGCACAAGTGAACATGAACAAACTCACTCCTAGTACACAGAAATAAAAGTAAATATATACGTGGCAGAAAATTCCTTCAAAAACCAGAAAGGAAAAAGGCAGCAATGCATGTATATAATGCCAGCTGAAAGAAATTCGTTCTCAAAATACCAGTCTACCATACTTCTCTGTTCCTCAAGACAGTTGAGGCAGTGTGCTTTTATGATTTATCACATCCCTAAGAACAAAGCATACAACTCCATTGATCATCTTCACTGCCTTGAAGCCAAAAACTATATGCTGGAGCTCATTAAAATGATCTCCCATGGAATAAAAAAAACCCAAAATCCAACCTAAACAATGTACACGTGCATAAAGACTGAGGATAACTATTGTACACGAGTGCCAAAATTATCAAGCCTACAAGCTCATTTTCATCACATTAATTTCACTCAACGAGGTCTCTTCCAATTCTTGCAGATCTTGATTCAAAATCTTTAAGCTCGTCATCCTTACGGTTCCATGTTAGCAAATCCTTTCCCTACAATGTTTTTAGTTGGGTTACATTGAATTTGGATGTCAGTTAAATTGCTTGACCATTCGTGATGCACAATTAAAATGAAATTTCAATATCAGCTGCAACCATAATGATAATGGAGCAATATTAAAGAAAGATTATTATATTTAGTTTCCAATTTTGATATTTATTCAAGGAAATATAATTAATGTTTTGATTTCGTTGATTTTATAATAATTTCCTGCTTTAATTAGGACTAGTTTAAACCCCTAAACGGATATTGTGCATTGTAATAGAACAACATTTGATTATGAAATAAAGTGAATTTCAATTTCTCTCTTCCTCTCCCCCTCTTCTTCCCTCTTTTCCCCCTCCTTTCTCTTTGTCTCTCCCCTTTCCCCTTCTACTGTAATTCTCTACTTGCATACTGTGTCAATTATCGGAGCACCAAAACCAAAACAACCACAACCATACACCTATAACCATACACCAAACAACCAGTTGTCAAACCTTACAACAGCACAAAAACAAGCAGAATTTGTTGCAGCAGCATCCCATTTTTACTCTGTTTAATAGTAGTAGTTAAAAAAAATTAAGGGAAAAAAAAAAAAGAGCCGAAACTGTCACCGGCCAGCATTAGTTGATTATGTAACTTTCTATTTTTTTAGTAACAAAAAAAAATAAAAATATATCAATCAAAAAAATCAAAAGAGTTGCTTTCCAGTGCTGCTGTTTCGAAGTTTGTGTTGCTGTTCTAAAAAGTCAAATATATATAGTCCACTATACACAATCCCTACACCCACATATATCAAACCATAATCCACCAACAGCCCCAACTACTTAGAAGTCAAAATAGCCACTTCATATATCCATTTACAGCCCTCAAACTATTATGTATCCACATTTGTCCACCTCATAACCCCATTTCCCAGCCCAATTACATGAGACCATCGATTCATTAACCCAACACTATTTCCACTCCAAGCCCATATAACCCAATTATCCCCAAAGCATTCACCCTGTCCAATTCCACTTCCTTAAGCCCTATAAGCTCATCAGTCCACAATACCTAACCAGGTCCAATCTCCTCCAACTTCATTGTCTCTGGTGCTTCATCTTCTCCAATGCCGCGGTACTCCCCATCGCGAACCTCCACCAATACCTTCCGCTAGCCACTACCAACTCCTCCTATAGTACCTTCCTCAATCTGCCGCTACGAACTCATATGACCACCCCTGTAAACCCGAAACCCAAATCCACTGTAATCTCCCCCCCAGAACCCAACTGCCTGTCACCATCGCTACTCCCTTGCTCACCCATTGATCGAAGTGCATCGTGATCTCCCTCAACAGCAACCAAACCAGACCCACAAGAAAGCAAACGGTTACAACCACCGAGTTAGCTCCACCGACATCCACTCACAACTCACCAAAAACTGAATTTGTCAACAATGCACACAAATTTCTCATTCAGTCGTTGGCAACAGTTATCCCAAAATGCATATACCTAGCAAGAATTAATTGGGTCGTAGTCTCTTTTTCGATCTCTGTCTTTGGTTTCTAGTTTGCTGGATTTTGGCTCTATGTCTGCATTTGTTTTTGGTTTCTGCCTGGAATTTTGTGTTTAGCATATTAAACAAAAAGAGTAAAAAACAAAAAAAGGGTGAAAAGGAAAAGTGGGAAAAAAAGGGATTTTCTAACAACCATTTGTACGATATTTTTTACTTGTTGATTGACATAGCCGTTCCAACCAATCAATTGCCATTGCTATTTCAAATAAATAAAAGTACTTCTGAGTTGATCTCATCTTTTAAGAATTTTCATTTTTCTTTGTTTATTATGAGTAATGATACTGAATGTGAATCATTCAAATAGGGATTCAGTGCTTAATTTGGATGTGCATTATACATCACGTGATTTCTTCCACATAGCTATGCCAGCTTGAAAATTATGATTGGGACACTATTTGACTCTTTTGAGTCTCGTAAGTTACTAATTTATTTTATGTTGGTAATATACTTTTATTTTAGTGCCTTGGCCCGTTAAGGAAAAAAATTGCTTTTCATTTCTAGTTGCTTTATTTACATAAAAAAAATGTTTTGGCGTGAATATCAAATATTAGGAGTCAACTATTGACAAATGGGAAAAAACTTCTTCGACTTCCGTTTCTTTTGATGAACTCCTATCTTCACTGAAACAAACTGAGGATTTACTTCCACAAGTTGACCAGTCACCTGCTATGTCAATGCTCACATCTCTTTCAACGCTTATCATAGAATTGATCTCCAATGAGCTTTTAAAACATCCAAATTTTACCATACAAATTGCAGTTGTTTCTTGCCTCAGTGAAACATTCCGTATCACAACACCAAATATCCCTTATAGTGATGAGACAATGCATGAATCTTTCCATTGATTATATCATCTTTTGCATCTCTCACGGGCAAAAACACCAAACTGTGATAAGGGATTTAGAATATTAGAGACGGGCTAATGTGAGATACTGCATCATCATGTTGGAGATTATTATGACACTTTGGCAAGTTTACAAAATAAGGATAAGGAGGTTTTTCTTGTTGCATTTAATGTAGTGGAAAGACTTTTTGAGAATTGTGCCGTCACTATCAAATCTTACTTGTCACAATCTATAAAATCTTTAGGCATTTGTATAGATGATTATGGTGAAGTTGTTTCTTCCAATTACACAAAAGTTGAGTTGTGAGCAATGTATTATGTCCCGTATCATGATCACACCTATAGACGATACACTTAGCACTAACATAGTAGAGGAATTGCCTATATTATTGTCTCCTAATTCAAACCGTTTGTCTAGTCCTAAGTGTACATTTAAAGCTGATTTTATTATGACATTAACTCAATTGCATGATACTCCTCGGATTGCCACATTGTTTTCCAAGGCAATTATTCGATTGCATACTTTCCTTTGACATTAGGATGTTGCCTACTAATTATCGGCATACTTTGTCAGCTCATCCTTTTGTTGTCAATATTCCTAAATTTCATGCTAAGATAAAAAGGCAAATCATTTTAATCATGAAATTTTTTAACTTGCTTTCAATGTACAACATAGGCTAGGAGACCCTAATGATTATTATTCTTCGTTACGTGTCTCATCATCTCAGTTTCTTAAATGTGTTAAGAAAAGAGTTTTGTAACATCCATATAAAGATTTTTTATTTCACTCGCCATCATACTTAAATAAGAGTTATATATATTCAATACAGAAGAATTGTTTCCTTATTGAGGCCCATTCGAGCCTTTGATGTTATAATTATTTTTTTCTACGGCCAGTTTGCAATGGTAATTCCTTGTGCTCCTCATTATGCACAACCAATTGAAGATTTTGAGAATGAGTTGCATGAGTTTTTTATTTTTGAAGTTCCATGGCGATACTTAGTTAAAAGGGGAGATCGTCCTCCTTTGTTAATTCATATTCTTGGGGATGAGTTGTAGCTTCAATTATTGCCTGATCGGTTTCGTTATTTGGTTTATAGGAAGGATCACCCTCCTCGGTTTGAGCTTAGTCGAATGACGTTATCCAAGATTCAATCCAGGAATTTGGTGTCGAGACAAAAGATAGGCCTCCTTGGAGTATGCAGTTCTAGTCTACCTCGTTGGGGTCAAGTTCTCTCAGTCGAGAAAAAATGATGCAATATTAAAGGGATATTATTATATTTAATTTCCAATTTTGATATTTATTCGAGGAAACATAATTAATGTTTTGATTTCGTTGATTTTATAATAATTTCCTGCTTGGTTAGGACTAGTTTAAATCCTTATATAAAGGGATCTTTTGTGTTGTAATAGAACAACCTTTGATTATGAAATAAAGGGAATTTCTTCCCCAATCTCTCTCTTCCTCTCCCCCTCTTATTCCCTCTTTTTCCCTCCTTTCTCTTTTTGTCTCTCTCTCCTTTCCCCTTCTACTATAAGTCTCTTCTTGCATACTGCATCACATAAACTTGGTGCCGTGTTTTTTAAAAGAGAAGTCTGGAGTCTTACGAAAGTTAGGCTTAGGCCTCAATGGGAAGTAGTGAAAAAAAAACAAAAAAAACACAAGATTGAATTGACAGGTATGGATAGATTGAACACATTATTGTAGAGCCAAAAAGGTTGACATTTTTCTCAGTTGTCCTAGCTTAGACGGCAACAGTCATGGGCAAGCTTTGTCTCTTAAACTGATAAGGTTGTTTTCAAATAAGATGGAAAGTATGGGGCATGGATAAACTGGTCCCAGGCTTAACGTGCTAAACATAGTACCTAAGAGATGCCAGGACATAAGAAGGTGGGAGTTTATTGGCAATATGATAGAGTTGGTTAGACACATCGTGCAAGGGTTACGAGAATTTGACGTTTAATTTTTCTTCTTGTACCGATATTTTCAATTAGAAGTAACAGACGGAGCAGGATGAGGAGCAAGGTGGGAAGATTGTTAATAAGAAACTTCCCCAACTTTTTATGGCATTTAGGTCCGCAAGCACCGTCTCCTTCCCCCCCTGTCCAGGCCAGTCATCCCCCTTCCCCAACGTCCAGCTCAAGCCCAGAGTCGGGGTCAGAGACGGGGGATGCCAAATTCATTTTGTCTTTCCATGTTTTCTTTTTTACAATTACCTTTCTCTTCTTTAATTTTTGCTTAACTAAACTTGAGGGCATAATTGTCTTTTTAATGAATTTAACACCTGATTTTGGACGAGGCAGTCCAAATGACCTAACTTGCTCCAGAAAACGAAGGTCAGGGTCCAAACTTCCAATGACCCCAAATGTT